ATGAAAGGCAGTCGAAGAAAACCATTTATTTAAGAAACGTAGACGCAAGAAATGGGTTGGGATTCTCTGTTGAATTATTATTGAAGTTTTCTATGTAGGAAGGTCGCGGATTATAAATACGAATCAAATTTTGCCAATAAGTTATAATTAAAGAAAGGATACGGGGTATAAATATACGTGGCGCGGCAATTTTATTGCTAAAACGTATCTGGCAGTTAAGATCAAAGGCAGCGATTCTTGCGGGAGGTCGTAAGTGGACCGAGGCGTATGGTCACGTCCCGTTCCAAATTTTCTGTTCGCCAATGTCACTCGCCACCGAAGGACGATCCCGATTTGAAAGGAAGCCCGATTGCTGGCTGCTCGTTCCGATATTCATCGCGCGGTTCGCGCCGCTCCGACGCTGGAATTTCAATGTTACCCGTTATACAATCGATGCGCCGCTGGCGTGTGTTACCGTCTTTATCGATCCGGTAACGCCATCCACGGATAAACAATTCCCCGGAGCCAGTCGCGCACGGCGGGTTTGGCTTGTGGCGATCGATCGACTTATTAGGCGGTTCATTTCCGGCGAATGTCCTTTCGTTTCCTCCCAGTCCTGCAGCCGTGGCCCGTGGCTGCGGCCGGCTAACGAACGAGCGCCGCGCGCCCAATCCCGGCCTTCCATCCAGCAGCGCGCCCAATCCCGGCCCTCGATCCAGCAGCCGCCTCTCATCTTCGGCTCGATTAATCGGCCGATTAAATATTACCCGAACTTAAAACAAGCGAAATGCTCGTCAGCCGACTGTCCGAGAAATCGAATTTCGCCCACGAGATTCTTACAGTCAATAGTTTTTAACTGAGATTACGTATAAAATTATAGAACAAAGTCAGTGAGCAGAAATTGTGAATAGGAATTGGATCATTTACTATATCTTGGGGGATATACACTTGCTTTTTGTGTAATTAATTTATCAATTTGTCGCACTTCATTTATTACAATCGAATGCTACTTTCATTTAACTTACTTAAATCAGTTTTTTTAACGGTTCGTTTAATATTCCCAACTGGGTCTTTATTCATGTTAGTGAATTATTTGTCTATTACTTTTTTAAATGAAATTGAAATTGCGAAATGAGAGAAGAGGAGACGAGAAATATTCTGCACAACGAAAATTTCATTTTAGCACGTGTGCAGTGGGTCGGGAATCGTTTTGGCTGCGAAATTAGTCCCGATAGTTTGATTTCCTCGTTAATTAGCCCGTCCTTGACGAGAGCGAGCGCGATCAAGGACCTTTTCTAGATTCGCGGCGATCACCGATCGGTAGAAGGTCGGTGGCCTCGTTTGAGGCGACTTCTCAAACCGGAAGTCTCGCCTGTCTCGCGTGAAATGCGTCGCGAATACGGGATCGACGTTCGACGACGAATATCCCATTCCCTGTTCGTTTCTCGTGGGAAAATATTAGGAATGCAGCAACATTCTACAATCTACGATTTTGTTAGATTAGTTTCCAATTTCATTGTTTTACGAAGTTTCTTTTCAAGATGATATTATAATATTCGTTCATCAAACTCCGTAGCTTCGAAAGTTTTATAGAACTTTGTGAGCAAGTTCTCTGATCTTCACTTGCCTCTCGATGAACTCCGAGTTTCGAGAAGTTGCTATTATTTTATTGTATAATACAATTCCATCCGACAATCATTTTCGAGTGAATTCTAAAGTCAGAACCTTTTCGGTTGATTTCAATACACAAGGAATGGTAAACATCCTTATTTATGTTTTGCGAAAAAATACGAATGTCGAAGAACGAAAGTAAAACGATTCAAGATCGTTTCAGGTGCTCAAGGATAGGTCACGATCTTCCGTATAAACGACTAAAATTAATGGCGATAAAAAGATAAAACACGAGAGGGAAGGGTGAAATAATCGTGCACAAGGTTAATCGGACTTTAATCATCGCGTTTAATCAAAAACCAGTTAAATGCACTTGGCGGCGACAGATACACGTTATGCACGTTTTGCACAGGCGGCGCGTGACCGGAAACGAGATGATATATCGCATCTTTCTCGCCAAATGCAGAACGCCTGAGCCGCCCACAGCTGTACGCTTGCATTTATAGTTTCGAGGTAGCTTCTAAGCTTTAAATCCAGCGTTTAACGGTTATCGAAAACCTGACAGGATTCCATGTTTATACATATACAAATAAGCGTATGAAATAATTGATTAGGTTTTTGTTTCATTATAAAATATTTCATTATTAAATATACTTTATGGCTGATTACGAGCCGCCAGATCAATTCTATTGTATCGGATCCGTCTCATTCGCATTTCGTTACCGCGCCAATAAATAATTTCCACGACGTGTTTACTGGGAAGCGACGCAACGGCATGCGAGGCAGCCAGGTGGTCTCAGGAAATTTCGAAAGAGTCTGTGTCGCAGTAGCCGAGGCCTGCCTTTCTCCCTTCCGATGGAAGTCGATTCTACTGCCCTGCCTCCCGTCTTACAACGATGGAAACGTGTTCTCGCGTCTGTTAAGGACGATCGATGATGCTCGATGTTGACGCGGGCTATCGTAGACAAGCATCAACGGGATTGCATCAACGGACACTCGAGTTCCCGTAATCAACGAACGAGAATCCCCGCTTTCCCTGACTAAGAATTAACAAGCGGATCTAATTCATGTTTAACGACGAGTGGCAAGCCGCTGTTAAGAAGATTACGGCTGTTAATGACCGGGAGATCGTCGGTCGGTGCATCTGTACGGATTTTTCAACGGATTGTCTGCTTCCAGGAGATAAAAGTAGGATAGGGAAAAAGAATTAAAAAAACTGATAATAAACGTCCAAGAAAATTTTTGAAAATAGATGAAGCAGAGGAACGACATAATTATAATTGAAACGTAACGTGTGTTCTTCCGGTGGTACCATTTTCGTCATCTAGTACGCATCCGGCGACCATATTGAGAAATTACTACTTATCGTTCTCAGAAATAAAATCTAATAAAAACTGACGAAAATCCAAACTGCACTGTTAAAAGTTATGTAAAAATTGGAATGGTAATACTAAAAAATGGAATATTTCCTATCACTAGTTTCCAGAAGCTTCAGTGTTGCCAAAAAAAAATGATGTGCCGTCTGTGGCCGCGGAAAATCGTCAATTTGAAAACTAGTAATTCTTAAGAATATTAAAAAATATTAATAACATATAAATTAAAATCTTTAATAAAAGTAGATTAAATAATTTGTGGGACTTTATTTTATCGGCGGATTATCGTTACTTTTATGCGACCAGACTGGAATGACGCCAGGTGATGATATGGCATCGTCGATGAGATCGATAAGCTGGTTCAGGACATGAAATAATCGGTGTATCATAATAATGAAAAGGGATCGTGGGACGTGGGATCAGTTACATGCGTGCTTGGATTCATAAACTACCTGTCCGACTGCAATTAACCATAAAACAGGATACCATAAATATACAAACTTCACATTTATCGCAAAGATATCATTTTAAATAGAAATCGAAAAATTTGAGGATAAGTCAAGCCAGAAACGTTTCCATAAATATTGAAAAGAATTCTTCGCCACTGTACATAATTTATCAATGTCTTCCAACAAAGTTGTACTGACTGAAATTTATTAACATTTCGTTGGAAACAATGAGGAAAATTTACGACAGTGGATAGACATGGAGTGGAGAATGCTGTTCACTAATTTGACTCGTATTTTTTGAGTGGGCATCACGTTTGGCAGGATGCCTGATCGAGAGACAGGAACGGCCGTCTCTAGCACGAAACACGTGAAAATAATAAATAAATAAACGCAACTCGTTTACGTTTCGATCGGATGTAAGTTATGCAGGGAAACTTCTTAACCCTGCCAACGTTTTACGCAAACGTAAACGTTTGGCACCGCGAACGAGACCGCGAGGAGTTGAGAGGCGTGGTGTTATACACATACATCAATCTGGCAACGAGAAATGCGTAGAATCTTTTTATATTCGATCATTTTATTAATACTGCTTTACCTACTGTTTCTCCTACCCTTTACGTACTTTAAACTGATTCTGATGACTTTCTCCGATCATTGTTATTGATAAATTAAGAACAGAAAAACATAAAAATCGATCACTTAATTAAGAATCGCGTGGCTACTTTATTTCTATTCGTAAAATGGGAAGGCTGCGGCGATATGAACCGGATTGCTGGTCGGAACCAGAAATACTCTCACCACGTCTCGAGAAACCCGGGGCGAAAATAGAAGCAAACTGTCCGGATCGGGTTTAGATCCACGGTAACGAGTGAGCTCGTCAGGAATATAGTAATCGATAATCGAATTAAAGCGACCGTCGGCAATTAATGTCTGCTGGCGAGGAATCGGTCGGTTCTATGGCTCCAGTTGCCATTCACGTATCCCGGTTCTGACATTCCCCCACGACTCGAGATTTTACACTCTAACAGGCCTCCAAGTACTTTCGTCGCTGACGAAACAAGCCTTTCGTGAATTATAATAATGTTCAGAATTTGTAACTATTAACGCTAGAACTATCGATTTTTTTTAGTACATGCATTTCTCAATTTAGAATCAGTCATTTTTACTGATTTGATAGTTCCAGTGTTAATATTACAGGAATTTATTTGGAACATGATTGCATGAGTTGTGAAAAGTGTGTTGATGTTTTCTTAGCGTTTGGAACCTTTTTTTGGTATATTAAGAATTGATTGCATTATTTGAATTGAACTAAGAGCTTGCCTATAGCGCATTTCCCTCTAGAGAAAAACAAACGTCTCGATTGATCAAGATCAATGGTCACAAGAATGTGACGTACAAATTAAAATACATTGCGTAGAAGGAAAATATTGTTGTTGCGATTTAACACAAGTTTGTTTTTCTCTAATGAATTATGACAACCCACCAGCAATTTTTATGATTTCTATTAATTTTGTTTTAAGCATTTTGGCACGTATGTAGTTGCATGTAGACTCACTGCTGTTGTTTTGGATTGTTTGTTGCACCGTAGATCCAGGCGGATGTCCCAGGATGTCACACATTCGAGATCCTCCGAGAATCTCACGGTCCCGTATTTCAGGTACGTATTTTAAAAAATTAACAGCAAGATTTTAAACTGTTGTTTCGATTGTATGAAATCTGAAGCTCAGAACATCTTTGAGCATTTAAGCTTTTAAGGTTGTATGAACCTTTACATAAAAACAATACTTATGTCGAATGATAGAATTTTGATCTCATTTATAAAAAAAATATGAATGCAACGATGACAGAATTTTGTAATTTTGCATAATTCTCAATTCATGATTTAAGAATATTTTGAAGTTGAAATAATATCAATTTCGAGGATATTATTTTACATATACAATAAGAAGTATGCAAAAGTAAGAATTATAGGACATGGCAGTTGCAAGTCACGTACAGTCCAATCAAAAAATGCCAATACTATGTATTAGAATATTATAAATTATGCGTTAAAAATTCCTTATGACCAATAAAAACAGGTCCATCAATTTTATAAGTCTTACTCCTTTGTATCATTTTTCCTAAAAGTTCATTATTTCAAATATTGGACACAGCTTTTTATTACATATCTTAAACTTTTGTCAGAGATCTTACGGCTCAAACAACCTTAAGTTATTGAAAGACCTCATAAAAATCTAAAAATGCTTAGCGTTTGATTTATTGCAACAGCAGATATCTAGTTCACGCCTCGTGCTACTCAATTTATTTTTACATAGTTTTTCGTTTGTTTTCCTTTCTCCAGTTTAATAATACGTTTCATTCACGTCTGCTATCTTCGCTCGGTCCGCGGATTCGTCTTGAGTTTATACAACGCATGGTTCGTTGCATTGTGAAATTGCATCGCGTTTCGCATCACTGGCTTCGCAAAGTAAAAAGGAAAAATTTACACGGGAATAAATACTCGCGCTTAATATGTCTCCCACTTTTGCTGCTCGTGACCAAATATTGAAATACAGACGTCTAGAGGCAATTCGTTTATCGTATTTGATCGTTAACTGGAAAATATGTTCGTTTCGCAGGAGCAAAAGTCGCAGCGTCGACCATGGATTCGCCACGCCGTTCGACTGGGACTCGTCGAAGACTAAAGTCGAAGGACGCTTCGAGTCGGTCGACGAATTTGCGAAGGGTGAGTAAAATCCAACAGGCTTGTATCAACTCGCGCCATTTACCATCCGGGAATTACAATCCCATTAGTAATGTACGTGAATTATTATTTGCGACCCGATACAGAAATTGCTGGAAGTAAAAGTCTCATTAGGGTCAAATGATTAGAGGAGCAATGTTGTAGCGAAAGTTCGCAGTACGAATATAAATCAAAGAGGGAAAACAAGAATGCAAGAATAATATGTCATTTTAATTAAATCTGAATTTTGATTAATTATCGTATTTGTCGTTTTATGTTAGAACTTCTTTTGAACGAAATAACGTTATCGCGATCTCCATCGATTAACTAATCGTCAGATCTCGGCGTGGTTTATCGAAAGGAAAAAAAAAAAGGAGAACGATTTTCACTGAAGTGAACCGAGCGAAAGTCGAAAGCGATCCGCTGGTCCGATAACAGGCATTAGGCGCGGCCAGTGCAGCCTGAATTAATCTGTTGAATTGTACGACTGAGTAACTCTTTCTAGTCTGTTTGACACTCAGAAAAAATCCTTCTGGAAATATTAAACGAGTTTCCATAGCGTAGAAGCCAGGATGTCGTGCGTACACAAAAATAGCAACGACTATAATTACAATAATAATAATAATTAAAATACGAATGAAGTAATGCTTGAAATTCGAAGGTGGGGATTGCTACCTGCAGGAGTGAAAGGGTTAAATCGTATACGAGTCCATAGACGTCGAGTGCCACGCGGAAATTTTACTCTACGATTGAGTTACTGACTGCAGGAAAGACTAATCGGAGCGGCCGTGTAAAGATCGCCGTGGCGAAGGTCTAGCGAGGATCCAAGATGCCTCGCAGGCGTCTCGCGTATGCAACCTTACTCATGCGAATCGCATTGACTTACTTTCTTAAAGTGGCACAAATGCCGTCGGGTTTGATCGATCGGCTCGCGCGAGCGCGCGCGTGTTTAATTGACATTCTTCCCGTGAGATTTGTCAGCGACTTCCCGCTGATTTTTTTCCTCTTCTTTTTATAACAATCATCTCAGTGTCGTTCGTGAGATTCAAGATACGTTATGAAACGTGTAAACAAATGAGACGTTCTAAGAATGTGAATGAGCAAATTAGAATTTGTCAAATTTTAACCCTTTGCACTCCTACGTCGAGTCCCACTCGACATTTTTTCATGTCCACATGAATAGATGTCGAAGAAACAAAAGAAAACCAGGATTGCATACTGGAAATTGTTTCAAGAGATCAAGGGACGCGGTAGCGTCCCGAAGGCAAGTTTGAGTCTGAAGATTGCAGCTTCTCGTCGGGTACCGCGACCCTTATCTACACGTAAATTCGTGTTCGATTTTTTTCTTTTATGTATTAGGATTAAATCTTTGGCAATTTGTCAATGGTTTGAGGTTTTTATGAAGTTTTATATGCTGCTTTTTAATTTAAAACAAGTTTTTTAAAAATTTAATATCCAATACTGTTTATACTTTCGAGTCAGACCACGTGAGACCACGTGAGAAGTGAGCTAGTGGCGAGCAACTCAAAACGATTCCCGACCCACTAAACTACATTTACAGCTCGCTTTGTAGGTGAGCTCTCTCTCTCTCTCTCTCTTTCTTTCTTTCTTTTTTTTGCTTTTGCGACGCTTATTATATGTGCGTGCAGCAGGAATTCCGAAACATAGAAACACAATAGTACTTTGTGCACGAAGGGTTGAAAATGGTTCTTTTCGAGCGAGGTTGATGTTTCAGCACGAGTGGCAGTCGAGCGCATCACAGGCACCCGAGACGAACACGAGCCGTTCGGAACATCACACTGAAGTCGCGTATTCATCTGAGCATGAATGCGAACGAGGCAAAGTGAGGCCGAATGAGCATACATATGTGGACGTGTAATTGAGGCGCGGCAAATTGCATTCGGAGCTGTTCGCCGCACAGACTGAGGCATTCGGGACCCGAGCCGCTGGGAGTCGGTACTTTAAAGAAAACGTATGGATGGCATTCGTGTACGTTCCACGTACCTTGCCTATCTCGCTGGATCACCGTTTACTGCGTTCGTTGTGGATCACTGTCTCGTTCGTTGCCTCCGCACACTTCGTTCGCGAGTAAAAATTTTTAACGAGGTATTTGTTCGGACTCGTCTTTCGTCTTGCCTCGTTCGCATTCATGCTTAAGTCAATGCTGTGCACGCACATGTAATAAGCGTGGCAAACGACTAAAAAAAAAAAAAAAAGCTCACCTTGATATGTACAGCATATGTTCGTCAGAGGGTTACAAATTAAATTGCATTTTACCGCCCTACGGCGTAAGCTAGATTTAACCGCCCCATGGCGGAAAACTCTATTTCCGATCAATCGAATGGTGTTTTTCGGCCTCGTGTAATAAAAATTTTATTTTCGCATGTGCGGATGCCAAGTGCGTTAAGACTTGAATACATTTTGACAAACGGGTAACGGAAAGTACGGAACGAAGTTCGAATCCCCGCGGTGGCACAAACAAAGTAGGTCGGGAATCGTTTTGAGTTGCTCGCCACTAGCTCACTTCTCACGTGGTCTCACGTGGTTACGTCTGACTCGAAAGTATAAACAGTATTAAATATTAAAAGTAAGCGCTCCATTCTATCATCTACTTTTATTAATAGAATATAAAGCTACACAATCCGAAAGGTGATGTGTTAATCAATGAAAGTATGTTGCGTTTGTACGAGCGCGAGATTACCTGGAAATCCACCCGTCTCGCGGGCTTCCGCGAGTCACTTTATTAAACGCAGAATCCGTGTCGGTCGCGAGACTAACCCAGATACACCCGGAGCGGAGTACGTGTACACGGGGAGCATTAATAACACCCGCGTGCCTTTAATAGTTAGAGGGTATTTGCCAAATGACAGTCGGCCGAATTCCCAGCTCGGTCACTCGGAGATTTATCCAATTACCGAGCCCGCGGTAGCCAGTCGCAAAATCGTTGCAATCGAGAAATTTGTCAATTACACAGAATTGGGTTGTCCGTTCCGTTGGAGCTCTTGCGGTTTCTCATATACAAGGCATGAAAGTTGATTTTTATAGTATGAAAATTTAGTTAAAATTATCATGGAAATCATCATAATCGAGTTTTCACGATGATTTGGACAGAACAGGGTTGCTCGTTTTGTCCGAACTTCTACAATTTTCCATATACAAGCATGAAAGTTCATTTCTATTAAAATTCAGTTAAAATTGTCCTGGAAAGTGGAAATGCAAATAAATCGTTTGCACCTATTTCTTTAAATGAAATTAGACAAAATGTTTAAATCTGATTAAGAATAATTGAGTTTGAATCGTATTTAATTAACTGTGTTACATTGAGTTTGACTGAATTCTATTCAGATCGAATTGTATCGCGGGTTAAGTTGAATTAAATCGAGTCGTACTCGAAAATTGAATTGAACCGACACAGAGCTCGCGCTGACTTCTCTGAACTGAATCGAATACGCGTATAAATGAAACCTATTGCAATTACTAGATCGCATTCGTATGTGCAATGTGTATTCCAGCTTTAGGGCTGAAATGCATACATTTAGGTTCTATCGTGTGCCTCACGCGATGCAAGGTATCTACGAAATTTCGGCTTACTTTATAATAGAAGAGGCCAAGTAATTTCAGCCACGCTGCGCGGGCATCCGGTTGGGGAATTATTCGGTCATATTGCTTGGAATCTCAGAATGTTGCAGCTTCCATGTACCGACAAAAGAACAAGAATAGAAGTAAAAGAAAGCCAGAAAATATATTTGGTTAAAATTAACACAAAAATAGAAGTAAATAAAGCTAGGAAATATATTTGGCTAAAACTCTCGTTCACTGAGAATTTATACACAAAGATGTTCGTAGTTACTTCTCGAGTTTTAAGATATTTTAAACTGGCAATTGTATTTCAAAAAGTCTGGCAAATATTCAGAATTATAAAACATCAGAGACCATCTCAATTGAATTCTACGTAACAAATCATATAGCCACAGCTGTGTAATAAATCATGTAATAATTTACGAACAGCTTCAGTAAAGTACGGTGGAATATGATTATAATTCCATAATGGAATATGATAATAATTCCAATCATATACTACTAAAAATGTTCACATGCTTCCGTGCACCAGTGTACATATGCCGATCATGCAACAACGCGTGCTGCGATTCTACGATGCAAGGATGCGAATGGATGTGCAGCTTGTCACGTGTTATTATTAACCAAATTGCGTATCACCGAATTCGAAGGATCCGTGACATCTGGGAACGTCGCATCATTAAGCCAATTTTTGTTTGGTGCACGATGGAATTTATGTCGGCAATCAATTTTACGACACCTACTGTCTAAAACACCGACATGTGTGCGACACCGTATTCTATCTATCGTGAAACGTTTTCAAGGAATCACACATGAAACGTGCTCACAATAACCAGACTTCCTTACGAAACACATCCATCATATGATCCTCTCACCTTGGGACATTTCACGCCGATGAAGTTAATTATACCTTTCCATTCACGTTGTGTCAATGAAATTGCTTTACAGTCATTTTACTTAAAAATGTCTAATCGAACGGAGAAATGCTAGATGTTTGATTAGCTGTGGATAGCTTTCGTAACTCAAGCTTGCCTAATCTACTTCGTATAAAGAAAGAAATGTGGCAAGCCTACATTTTTCAATGAAAACAATTTATCATCATCTGTTTGCATAATAACAATTAATTTAATGAACACACCTAAGCATTGGAAATAAATTGAAATAAAGAGCAATTAATCATTACAATGAAATATTTACAATAACATTTAATGTGAGCACATTTGGCCACTGTGTACCTCTGTTATTCAGTCTTGGTTCTACATTCATTGCAAGCCTGATTAAATTATGATTCGTTGTTTAATACACTGTTACTCTTCCGGCTATTTAATGACAGATCAAATGACACGTTGCAAATGAAGCTGGTATCACGTTGCAGTTCAACAATACAATTTTATTCTCAGGCCTCAAGCGTTGATCATAACTCA